GCATGGTGACTATAGTTAATAGTACCATATTACATATTTAAGGTTGTTAAGGGAGTAGTTGTTAAAGTTGTATTATACACATTAAAGTAGTCTGTAATTCTGTATGGTGATAGATATTAACTAGATTGTTTGTGATCATTTCACAATAGACAAGTATTGAAGCATTATGTTGTACACTGAAACTAATATAATGTATATCAATTATACCTCAGTCAAAAAAAATAAACTTAAAGGGAAATTTAAGTGTAGTAGTACAAATCTTTATGTAAGAAAGCATAAAATTGCAGAGTTTACTATTAGCAAGCAGCTATATTTGTTGAGTGTATTTAGTTTCACCAAATAATTAAATGGTTGTATATGAATCATTAATGGAAGCTACTTGCTTCTGACTCTTCAGTTCGGCAGGATACAGCCTTGTATCTGTATCTGTCAGTCAGTACAGGTGAGCAGTGGCCTCTCAAAACCTGTTTTATATCACTTTGGGCCCTTACTTGATTCTGTTCTGCTCTTGCTCCAGATACAGTCTTCATCCAGCCATGAACTCTGGCTAACATAACCCAATTTTGAGTCTACCTCTGGTTCTTTGAACTTTGTATTGTTGTTGAGACTTCCCAGACTTTGAGTCTTAGCGTTTCCAGCTGGTTTACTCTTTGGATTTGTGTCTGGTTTTCAGTGGTCAGTGCTGTCTTGGTAAAGAATCCCTGCTCTAGTTCCAGATCCTTGGGAGCCAAGCTCTATGACCATTTGTCAGGGTTTCGAAGAGAAGAGAGGGTTTGGACAACTCTATCCTGCACACTCTACCAGACAAGTTAATTCACTCTTCTGCTTACAGGCCCTTGAGGACAAGCTATATGTGCACTCCAAGCCTCTTCTTGTGGCTGCACCATGGTAGCTTCTTAAATTTCCTGTGGGAGTTTTAAGGAAAAGAAAATAGGTTAATCCAACTATAGATAGGCAGTCAGATTATTTTATTTCTGAATTGGTTTTTCTGCTTTGCTTTCTAAATTTGGGGTGAATGGAGATTCTAATCATTACAAAACCCAACACATTGTAAATCCCACTATCTTCACTAAAAGTTTTTTCTTTTTTGTAAAAGATACATGTGTACATAGCTGAAAGTATCAAATAATTCTGCAAAGTCAGTAAACAAAAAGAGCCATCTTCTGTTTTTCTCTTTTCCTCCTCCCCAGAAGCAACCACTTATCACCATATTTAGCTAATTAATGTATTTTCTCAATGTTTATAAATAGCATTCTTATACACGAATTTTTTTGATATTCAATATTTATGTGTTATGACTGTGTGATTATAATCAAAAGGTGAGCCATATAGTATAAGATGATTTCATTTCCCTCTAGTTAATAACTGTCTTCTCTTTTGACTGTTTTTCTATGTTCTTATCCTAATTCAATCCTTATTGATCGTTTAACTCTCCTTTGAAGGCATTCAGATGTGCCAGGCGTCCGGTTCACTTCATCTCGCTGTGGAAGCCCTCACGGAGCCTTCTGAGCCACTCCGTGCGTGCTGGCGGCCCTCTGCACTCAGTGTGGAGCATGAGCCGGAGAGCTCCCTGCCCCAGCATTTTGGGAATTTCCTTTCTTGTCTTTTTCTCTTGAGGTGAAACCTCTGCTTTCTTGTATGCTTTTCTCCCTTTTTCCTTATTTTGCTCTGTGATTTTGGGTGATCATTCTTTCATATAGCTTCCAGAGAAGGGGTGCGTAGGGATGTCTGAGAATGTTTTCATTCTGCTCTAACATTTAAGCAATAGTTTTTCCGAGTGTAAACTGTTAAAATGGACATCAGTTTTCTCAGAATTTTGAAGGCATTTTTCCATTGCCTTAAAAAAACAACTTAATTTTGAAATGATTTTAGATGGACCAAAGAGTTACAGAGTTCCTGTATGCCCTTTACCTGGCTTTCTCTAATGTTAACATCTTACAAAACCACGGTATATTTGTCAACACTAAGAAATTAATATTGGTACACTACTATTACCTGAACTACAGACTTCAGTTCATATTTCACCAGTTTTTCCACTAACATCCGTTGACTCTTCCAGGAGCGAATCCAGGACACCAGATGTAATCAGTGATCATGTCTCCTTAAGTCTCCTGTGGAGACTTAGGCTCAGCTGATCTGGGATAGTTGATCCTTAATTTTAATAACTCTTATTCTTTTAAACAGTATTGGTCAGTGTTTTTGTAGAAGGCCTTTCCATAGGGTTTGTCTGGTGTTTTCCCTGGTTAAGACTTGGGGATTTGGGGAAATAATATTACAGAGACAAAAGGGCCCTTCTCAACACATCATATCAAGGGAGGCGTGAGATCAGCGTGACATGTTACTGGCCATACTAGCTTTGATCAGTTGGTTAAGGTCATATCCCCTAGGTTTTTCCACTGTGAGGTTACTAATTTTCCCTTTCTATGTAGTGAGTCACTAAGTCCAGCCCACACTCAAACAGAGGGGAATTATGCTTCACCTACTTCAGAGAAATACCAGTTTGTGGACATATGTTAACACCACCACAATTACCCATAAATATTTGGGGGGAGACATTTTGAAGCTACGTAAATATGCTTTTTCTCTCTAAAGTTTTCCCCACTGATGTAAACATTCATCAGTGAATTTCACCATTGCTTTTTAACTTCAGTGTTACTGTCAAGAAGTCCAAAACTGTCCTAACTTATGATCCTCAGGATTGAACTTTTTCTGTCACAGAGCCTGTAGAATCCTGTGTTCGGAAATTTCACAAAAATGTACATTGACAAGAGACTGAATTGCTGAGCTGTCAGTGGGCCTCTCTATCTGAAACCTTGGTCCTTCAGTCTGGGGAGAGGTTCTTATATTGTTTCTCTTGGTATTTCTTTCCTTCCCTCTCTCTTTTCTGGAATTCTTAATATTTAAGAGATTGGTCCTCTAAATGAACCAATCCTGGAGCTCCAAGATTCAAATGCTTTTTCTATTTCTTTATCTTTCTTCTCTAATTTATGGAATGTATCTCAACTTTCTCTTCCAACCCTTCTATGGATTGTTTCACCTCTGCTATTACATATCTAATTTCATTTTTTATGGTTCTTTTAATACTTCTTTTCTAGTATCTTATTCTTTTTTTCATTGATCTTCTTTCATCCTCCTTTCTTTTCTTGAGGTTTTCTAAAATGTTCCCCTTGCCTTGTGTTTTTCACGTAGGTGACTTTTCATGGACGCTCTGTGGACTTGGTGGCCCGCTCATATTAGGGTGGTTTGATTGGCAGCTCTGTGCGAGGGGGACACGCTGGCTGTGAGCTTCGTCACAGGTGATCTGGGTGGGTAGTTTCCTTAGGCATTCTCTGAGTTATGTCCTCCTGGACGTCTCACATTCTCCAGAGAAGGACGCTTCACTCTCCTGTCTGGATTGTGAGGCCTGGCTGCTAGCACTGTGGGAATGGGGTATAGGAAGAGGGCAAGAGGGTCTTCCTCTCCAGTCTTCATATGCTCACTGACGCCTTCTGTTTACAGCACCACACTACTGCCCTCAGCTTTGCCTCATGCTTTCCAGGCCAAAGATCCTGTGTTTTACTTCTGCAGAAAATAAACATCTCATCTTTGGTCAGGTAAGGGAAGGGAAGACACCTGGTCCTGAGAAGGAAGGAATCTGAGTATCTGACTGCTTCACAAACAGACTTTCTATTAATTCTTCTCAAGTATTGTCGTGGCTCCACTTCCAAGAGTATCTGGTGCCTGCTGAGCCTTTAGGAGTTCTTCAGTGTGTTAAAGAGATGGACTCCCAGCTCATCCTGCTACCCTAGGATTTGGTTTTTAAAACAAATCTGTGAAGTGACTTATTGCTTTTCCAATTGTTTTCTAATCTCTAACATGTTGTTATTCTTCTGCCCTCTTCCATTCTCCTAGTTCTTACAGGTTAATATCTTCTGAGAACAGTCCTTTCACTCTCATTTTAATGGTGTTTCAGGAAGGAATGAAATTAGATGGTTGGGTCCAGTCTGCCATTCTGGAGCTTATGTGTCTTGCTCCCTCTCTTCTTTCTTTTCTCTCTTACTTCCTCCTTCTCTTAGAGTACTTCTTGGAGGGCCAGATCCTGAAAGGGTCTTCTGGTCCACTGTAAGGACTTTGACTTGAACATGCCATGCAGATAGCTGCTGAGGTTAGCCTGCCGTGGATCACGGGTGGAATCGGGGAGATGAGCTAGAAGATGATGGAGATAAAGCAAGATAGGCTGGGACCAAGCTGTGGCAGTGTAGGTCCACATGAAAGCATTTGAAAGCTGGGTGGTCTCCTACAGATGTCAGGGATTACTGTCTGGTGGAGGTGTCTTGGTGTACAGACAGTTGAGTGCAGTGGAAATATGTTAAAAACAAGGAATTAGATATACATGTGACAACAGGAAAACACATAAAAAGAATGTTGTTAGAAAATAATGAGCAGATTGAGATACATAATGTAATAACATGTAAGTAAACTTGAAAAGATGCCAAGAAAGTAAGGACACATTTTCTAAAAAGTCACTTGAACAGAAAGAACTGTAGTAAACACATTCAATGTTTGCTGAGGAAGGTAATGGCAATGGGATGTAAGAGAAATGGAAATAAATACATAAGCTCCCAAACAAATAGCAGGAGGGAAGGGCTCGCTTTAGAATCTGGAGAGAACTAGGGTCAATCTTAGGTGTTCTATTTGCAACAATTTACGTAACATTTTGGAGCCTTAGTTCCCAGCTGTATAAAAACTCTCTATTTAATATATTTGCCATAAGATATAATAAGACAGTTTACGTAAATTGCCTAGAAAAGCATCTAGTGCACAGAACAGTCTCAGTAAGTGCTAGGTATTTTCTTTCTCCTTCAACTACCCAACAGTGTAACTATGGGAGTGAACTGCGGCGTGAAGATAATTGCTTTAGAGAGAGTGTTGCTGGGCTTCATTATTGATGGGCAGGAACACAGGACCGGTGCTTCCTTACTGTTTCTTTATAATTCTTTTTCTCCCTTCTCTCAATGCAGGGCTTACCACCCAAAAGCTGGAAGGCAGAAGCTTCCCACCTGAGTTGCCCGGAGCCTACAGCATTTGCTTTCTCCCCTGTGGCTCCACACAGGAGCTCTTTGCGAACCATGTGGATACCAAGCTTTGAACAATCCAGGAAAGAAGCCCAGGTGCTAAGGTGGCTGGTTGATAGGAATCAAAATTTTTCAGCTCGAGAGTTTTGGGCCTTGGTATTCAAGGACAATTTCAAAGAGTGACAGGATATGTAGACTAGAGCCATCCTGAGGTTTATTTTCTAGGTTGCCTTAAGGTATGAATGTAATAGCTACTTTGTTGTCTGTCCTGTAGGGTAAGCATTCATTGCTGCAGTACTCATAATGAGCCCTATCAAATAATAGATGTGAATTACCCTTAGGGGTTTCCTGTACATTTTTTATACTAAAATTTTAAGTATTTCTTAGGGACACTGGTCACCTTCCATTTACATGTCTGGACCCACGTTCCTGCTGCCTTTCGAGGAAGTTCACCTAATGGAGAGTGAGTGCCTTCTTCCCTGCAAGGGAGGCAGAAGGTGTGCAGCTGTGGATTCTTGATACTCACCTCACTATCCGCAGCTTATTGGTATTTGGCAGGCCCAGTGGGCTGATGCTGAGCATGAACACGAAACATATTAGAACTTGGCAACGAGAGATTTCAAGGAAATCTGTGGGTTTCCAGGGATTAAGTGAGTAATAAAAGCTGTGTATAGTTTATCCACTATTTATTCCTCAAGTCAGAAGGTCATGTGCTTGTTTGTTTCTGCCTTTTCCATGCTCCCAGCTACCTCTCTAACTTCCTTTTTATCATCTTGCTTCGTGTCCTCCTCCAAAGCAGAGTGTCTTACGATGTGCCTCCTGTCTGTGTGTTTTGATCAGTGAGATGTTCCCAGTTGTCCTTATACTGCTGAGCAGAATGATAATCATGTAATTCGGCTGGACAGCTCATGCGTTTTGATCAGCGTGAGAGTGGGTGAATACCCCCAGGCTCTCGAATGCTGTTGAAGGTGATTTGTCTCTTCTTAGGGTGAGGCACAGCCTGCTGTGGTGGGCAGCCCCCCAGGTTTGTGAGTGTTCCCTGTCATTTCTGATCCCGTCACAGAGAAGGTGCAGCTGTCTTACCGGAGCATCTGCTGGAACTTCATGAAATGCAAGGAGGACACACTGGCTCACGTCATCTTTCCTTGTGAGGGTCGGAAGGCTTCTGGATGACACTAAAACCTGTTGTCCCTGCTGTGTCATGGCTGTAGTATTCTTTATTGTGGAAAGATGCGACCTCCAGAGGACAGGAGAGTCCCTGATACTCATGTCCCTGGCGTGGTATAAGGAGGAAACCTCAGAGAGCTTTTTTTTTTTAAATCAAACCACATCATTTTACTATGCAGTTTCCTTCGACCAGAAAATTACTAAAAATACAAATATAAAGTCTCTAGAAAATACTTAGAACAGATCTGTAATCTTCTTCCTCCCCAAACTGGGCCAACCTTTGTTCTTTCAGTGTTGTTGGATTACATGCAGGTTTGTCTCCCTGTTAGCCACACACATAACACAGATCCATACAGTCCCCTTTTGTCATAGGTCAGTGCCTTGATGTGACTGCCGTGAGCAATCTCTCTCCCATCCACAGCTTTCTCTGGCTTGTGCCGGAGAAATGGGGACTGCAACCAGTACCTATCTTTTAGCAGCCTGAAGGGTCACATTGCTGGGTGGGAGAAGGTGTCTATGCCTGCTTTCTTCTCAATCCCAGCTCTGCCATTAACTAAATAATGATTTTTGTCCATGTCCCTTAACCTCTCTGGGCCTTACTTTTTGTTCCTAAAAAGATGTGATGAGCTGGTCTCTGAAATTCTTTTCTGTGTAACATTGTTGAGTTGTTTATCAAAATTTAAGAAGTTTAACTTTTTAGGTGTTTTTATTAAGATAGTAACAAACCATTTCAGAGCCACTGTTTTCCAAGGGAGGCACACTCTTCTTTGGAGGAAAATGCCTACTTACTGCGTAGTTAATGAGGATAGAAAGCAGCGACCTCTCTGCACCTTATCCAATACTGTCAAAAGAGAGAGGATGGAAAGGGATGGTTTGTTGAGACCAGATTTTAAATTGTATGTTCAATGACATTTGTAGCTATTGTACTCATAAAAGAAAGCCCAAGATATGATTTGTGCCTCTGGAGAGATATTGTCAGATAGCTTCAGTTCTCTTCCATAAATGCCTTAAATAAGTACCCAGTACTTATCTGCTGCATGTATGTCTTAAAACTCAACATTTCATGTAGTTTTGTCCTATTTGGGTTCTTCATCTAGAGTCCATAGATAAAATTCTCCCTAAGCCTTTCTCAAGTATGTGACCCTGAACAAATTTAGTGAAGTAGATCATTGATCATCTAATGTGGTGTAAAAATTTTATGGGGGCAGAGGGTAGAGGGGAGGGAATTTTCATGTGCTTAAAAATGAGGTATATTTCAAAGAGGATAAATCAGAATTTCCTTGGGACTCTTTAGGTACCCAAGATTTAAGACTTTTTTTTTTTGCTTAACATGTGTGTCTTCTGTAATAGGATTTGCATCAGTAAGATGATTCCCTCTTATCTGTGATGATTGCTGTCCTGGAGTGAGGGGGTGCCCCTGCTCTATGTAGCATGGTTCTTCTCTGCAAAGTGGGGAGTATGCATTTTGAGTTCTGTATACTGTCCCTCAGCATTTATCTGTGTTGATCACAGATTGTATCTGTGTTGATCCCATCATACCACACCTTTCTCTTTACCTCACTGTCTTCACTTTCGAAACATCATTAAGAAAGTGTCCTACCTCACAGAGCTGTTGTGGGGAATGACCCACGGCTGTGAAGGGACTTTGTACAAGGCAGCATTCTGTGAGTGCTTCAGTGCATCTTATTTGGATTGTTTGCAAAGACTCATTTTCAACGTGGTGTGGCAGGTGGGCAGAGACCTTTGCAGAAATGCTGAAGAAAGTGAATACTAATACTAGTCAATAGTTTTCACTTTTTACCTGGAAATGGAGGCAACTTTGACCTTTGATCTTGTAGCAAATATAGTATTTTAGAACCTGAACACTGACTCGCATATTTGTTTCTGTTAAGGACTAGATTCTAGTAACTAGAATATCAGTTGAGGTTCTTATCATTACTAGTAACAGATTGAGTGCATACAGCATTCTATGCATTACTCAGAAATTAAAGACATAAGTGAAAAATGAGCATGATTCCTTCGGAGTCACATAATGTACATTATATGTAGGAGAACAAGCTAGTGTCTATGGGATGCTGTGTGGACCTAAGCCCAGTACAGACCTGAGCTTGAAATGCCCATGATTTTTTAAATCATGCATCAAAAAAGATCAGTAACACTTAATTCCTGCTGAATGTTACAGTTTATTAGGGGAATGCACTGTAGAGTTGATTTTTGGTGAGTGATGATAATTATCTAAAGCAACATGATACAGTTCTATGGAAGTGACATATGTCTTTCTTAGAATCTTCAAAGTACACAGTATAGAAGTTCACAGGCCAAGAATAATAATGGTGGTTATTTTATGTTTCTAGTAACTTTGCAATCCTGACTGTTTTATAAAGAATTTCCTTACCCTTCTTTAGGAAATTTCTTTCCTTCGTACTTTTGTTGTCATTCATAGTACTCTTTACTGCATAATTCTAATATCAACATATATCTTCATTTTCTTCTGATTACAGAAACAAAATATGCTTGCAAAATTCAGAGCACATACAGAATTACAACTCTGATTTCTAGAGCAAGAAAGACCTGGTTTTAGCCCCTGCTCCAGTATACCATCTTTCTTACCTTGATTGAGTAATCTGGCCTTTTGAAGCTTTAGTTTGCCCATCTGTAAAAGTATATTATAATTTCCACCCTCCCTGGACATTGTTGTGAAGGTTAAGTAAGCTACTATTCATACTTAATAAAGTGTAACCTTCATTTTTACAGCTATCTGTGGCCATTCCCCTTTTGTTTGTGAAACCTTGATTGAGATTTGTCCAGAAAAAAGGAATGACTAATGATAGTAGCAGGGATAGTGTGCTAGGTATCGTAGCAGATAGGAATTGGATGTGGGGGAGAGGTGTGAAGGGTTCTGGGTAGGGCTTTGTGGTATGATGATGGTATTAACACCGGGGACTGAAGAGTGTTCAAACTGTGCTCTGCATCTCTCTCCCCACCATGGGGTTTCTGATGGAGTTTTTCACAAAGCTCCCAACAGCATAGTGGGAATCAAACAACCTGTTTACAGTAGCTTTACAAACCCAATAAACCCAGAACAGTGTTCCCTGGTAAAAGCTGGATTTGAACACATGGTTTAGACTTAAAGCCTAAGTAGGATCGTTTATTGCCTTTCTATTTCTCCATTCTCAAACTTGGGACCAGCTTGTCCAATGGGCCTATACCAAGAAAGAAGAGAGAAAGATGGCCAGGTCAGTAGGTTCTGAACCTACTTACTTATTAACTGAAAATCAGAAAACAGAAAAGAGGAGGCACCTGACCAGGTCTTCTGCTAGGGGACAGCCCTGGATTGCTCTGCATATGCATGGAGGCAAAGATACAGGGTGCAAGGTGTGGGGGCTCACTTTTAAGTTACAGTAATTTCTCTAGCTGATAAAATATGGCCTGTCAGTATCCTGGGCCTAGCCCATTAAGCTAGCACCTCCACTGGTGCTGGGGATTATTAAGGAGCTGGGCAAGAAGCTGCAATTGGGGCAGGAGGGACGCTCCATGGTTTTTGTCTTCTCAACCTCACTGGCCTCCCAGCCAAGCCTGTGGGCAGTCAGAGGTGTGGCTGTGTCCCTAAGGGTGTGGCCAGCCATGACCACAGAGACCTCCTGTCCTCTTCTTGGGCTTCTCCCTGAGAGCTACCCTTGCTCTCTCGTCCGCCTGGGACCAGTGATATGGGCGGTTCAGCTCTTATCCCTGAAGCTTCTGAAATGAGTCAGAACTGGACATTGATTAATGTCTCCAGGGGGGTTTGAGCATTAAGCCAAAAGTATATTCTCTATTTTATTTCCCACACAAACCCCGACTACATCATCCAGCCTCGCTCACCAGAGGAGGTCATACAACCAGCCCATAGGCCATTATGAATATTTGTGATTTTACTATCATGAACGCCTCAATTTTTAAAAAACCGATTTGAGTCGGTAATTAGAGAAACTCAGAGATCGTCAGTATAGTAGGGGGTGGTGGTAATGGTTTAGAGGCAGGGGCATTGTCCCAGGAGCCTTTGGAATGAGCCTCACAGAAGTTGCTTCTTACGCATACAGAGTGACCCAGACTACAGAGCCTCATCTGATGAGTTACACTCACGGGAAAAACAAAAGCCAGTTTTTCTTAAGAGTGTTGAAGAACGATGAAGCAATAAAATGATCAATTTTATTAAACCTCGGCCTTTGAGTACGTCTTTTTAATTTCCTGTGTGATAAATGGAGTTTATACGTAAAACACTTGGTTGCACACCCAGCACAGTGAGAATCTTAAGGAAAAGCATTGGTGTGATTGTGGGAGTTGTGAGCTGAACTGGCAGCTTTTCCACGGAATGCCATTTTCACTCGAACATCTTGCAAACTATGGATATTCAGGCTTCGATTTTTTGTCAATCATCTTGAAAACAAAGTGGGTCTTTTTACCTTAAAAAAACTGATACAGTTTGTTACCCAGGACAAAATTTCAGCTTTCAAGTGAAAATTCAAATTTTGGAAAACTAATTTCTACCGCTTTGAGCTTAACAACTTCCTGATAGTTTGAGACTTTCCTGATGAGAGTGGTGGTGAGGTCAACACATTTTCCCAGTTAAAACAATAAATTTTGACATGGAAAGAAAACAGAGATGATGATATGTAAGGGTGTTTTTAGTTTGCATATTGGTTTGTTTTTTAATTCTAAGGAAGGAAAGGACAGTGTTGTAAACTGGAGAGAGAGAAATTTTTTTAAAGTTAAGTAATTTTTTAAATAAGAATTCCATAATGAATGAAAATGGAACTTCCAATGAGAGATTTTTAAATTGCTGATTATTTTTAAATTGGGATAAGATGAAAGATAATTGGAGCTTTCAATGAGGGAGAGGAAGCCTTTGTTAGTTGGGAAACAGAAAAATATATTAAGGTACAAGAAAAATATTTTTTAAATATATCATTTCAGTCACTCAGAATGTCAGACTGCCTGGAATTTATCAATGTATGTATTAAACTTTTATTGAGCACTTACAGCCTGTCAGGAATCATTCTAGAACATGGGGTTACAGCAGTGAATGGGACTGACTAAACCCTACCACCACAGATCCCACGTTCTCATTCTAGTAGGGGAAAGAAAACAGAAATGCTTTAGCAAATATATACCACTTCCTGGAAGCTTTTATTTCTTTATTTTGTAAGAGCCTCGTGAGCTGGAATTTACCTCCTGAATCCCTACCACTCCATTTGAAACAGATATGATAGAAATGGGTTATACTGATAAGAGTTTATTAAACGTGCTATAGGGACAAAGATGTGTTGAGAGTACTAAGAGTTCAAATCTGTCGATGTTGGGTGATGGACAGTGACAAGGAACAGAGAGGTTATGGACAATGAAGATGTGAAAAATGCACTTCCTGAGGAGGTGTACAAGTAGTTTAAGGTGATGAGCCCAAACTATATAGGTGAAGCTGATGGACACAGTTAGATAGTTCCAGAGAAAAAGGCTTCCTACGGGTTTCTTTACAGAGGCCAACGCCTCCTCAGTTTCAGGAAATTCCCAAGCAGGAAATAAGATGTTGCAAGCTTTGGGCTTTGGGGACAGACCCATGAGAGAGACAAATTTCAATAACCTAAGAGTTGCTGGTGACTTCTTGGCTTCTGAGGACATGTAGCTGAGCCAAGGTGAAGCCACCCTTCCTTCCTCTGTCTGCAGCCAGCTCAAGTGCCCATGGCCTGGCCGCCCATCACCCATGAGAACCAGTGTTTCATGAGCACAGCCATGTTCCCCCCTCTACACAGGACCTCCACTCAGATTGCACAATCCGTTAGCCAACTGCTGGAAGGTCATTCATGAAGGGCACTGAAAATGAGAAAACAACCTCTAATCTTGTGTGCAATCAAAAGAGTCTGTTTTGATGGGAACAGGATGGGGTCCTCCTGTGGAGTTCATTCCAGTAGTCTGCTCTCAGTGCTGGCAGCTTCTGGGATGACCTTGGAAAAGACCTTGTGTCAACTTGATCAGAACCTCTAGACAAAATATGTGAGTTCAGCCATATGTTTGAATGGTTCTGACATTTGCCAGTTTGCCATAACCTAGGGACAGTCTTCACTGTGCTGGACTGAAAACTGTTGGGAAGGGGCCCCTCTCCCATCCCTCCTTTTCCAGCACTCCCACAAACAAATTTTGGGGAAACATTGGACCATGCAGATATATCAAGCTATTGTATGATTCACATATTACCTGGAATACAGTGGAGTTGGATTTAGACTAATTTGGGGAGGACTGGGAATCTGACTGTGTCCACCAGGATTTACAAATCTTTTAAAATGTTGTCATATGTGCTGGCTGCGTCCCAGTGAAGCAGAAAACTTCATCTCAGGCTGTGCACAGCTTCTCTCGTGTTTACATGTGTCATATATTTCTACAGGGCACTGCCCGCTGAGATAATTGATTAATCTGAGATAGTCATTAATTGTTTGGTGTCTGTTATCTAGGAGGATAGGATGGTCACAGGGCAAATATAATTTGAGAATAGCCAGGGGGTGAGTAACAGCATAACTGTTCTGTGATCTGCCCCTAACTCCAGACATTCAACATGAGCTTGGCAATTATCTAAGAAAGAAAGGAGCGACATGTGGTTTTTCCCAATGGGGGATTTCATTGTCCATTTGGGCCCCTTGTTTACTACATCTCCAAGAAACCATGACAACCATATTTGCCTCTATTTCCTCTCCCCTGGATGTTTCTAGTTCCATCTGTTCAGTATTCACTGATGAAGGCAACTTTTTTGTTTCTTTTCTCATAAATGGAAGTACACTTATTTGAGTTCATTTAAAAATTTAAGAAAAGCAGAAACACCCTGAGGCTGGTCCTAACCTCTCAGGCTGCCTGCCCTCCCTTTAAGAGTGTACTTTCTCCTTGCTCAATAAAGCTGTCTTCTAGCCTTCAAACAAAACAAAAACAAAAACTAAGAAAACCTGAAAGGTGGTGCTTGGCTTGATAAATTGTTAAACACTTTCTCTATACTTCCTTCTCCTGAGATTTCGCCAGCAAATGGTCCAGTCCTTTATTTGATTTGTCAGAAGTGCCTATGCTCTGTGCAGAGATATATCAATCCAGAAAACAAAGCCAGGCAAAAAGCCCGGCTTTGTAGGTATACATTTGTGTAGTAGAAAATGCTTCCTCTTTCGACTTCCAAAATCTCAGGTAGTGGCAGCTGGGAACACCTCTGTCCTTCCTCATAAGGTGGTTTATCTTCTAAGGCATTTTACAACGTTGGAGGGTCACATAGCTCTTTGCTGAGCTCCGCACAAAGAAAACAGTAACTCAGAGGAAGAAATATACAACTTGACTCAAATGAGACATCAGTGGGACCTTTTTGTGGTGTCAGTCGGGTGTCCTTTTACAATTGGGGCCCACTGATGGACTGGTGGCTATCCCAAGACACAACCTTCGTGGTTCAGGACTCTTGGCTAGTATCTGATTTGGCCTTTCCTCTTAATTTTGTGACCTTGTGCAAAGCATTGCACTTCAGTATGAACCCCAGATTCCTCCTATGTAAAGGGAAGTTGGACTAGATGACATATAAGGCCCTGAAGGGCTTTAAAATGACACCATTCTGTTTCATGGCCAAACACTAAACACTGGCTAATGATTTTGCTATTTTTCCTCTCTTTATAAAAAATTCTAGCCTTTAAAAAATTTTTTTTATTGGAATGTAGTTGATGCACAATATTACACTGGTTTTGGATGTCCATAGAGTTCTAGCCTTGATCATCTTACCTCACTTTATGACCTTTCTTCTCTGTCTTGTCCACTTCACTTCAATCTTCATTAATGTACTGATGACTTAAAATATTTTTTAAGTTGAACTTTACTGCAGTATAATTACATAAAATACAGTGTGCTATTTCAAGTTCAGTGAGTTCCTTCAGCTGTGTATATACTGCTACAATCAAGAATATTCATATCACACCCATGCCCTAGCTCCCCTTTGCAGTCAGTACTCCCCATTCCTGGCCCTAGAAAATCACTACTCTGCTTTCTGACACCAAACATTTGTTTCTCCTTAAAGCCATGCTCCTAATTGTGATCAAATATGTTATGTTCAACTGCGCACTGGGAAACTTGACTTAGATGCATGAATAGAAATCAACACCTTTTCCCATAAGTCTGTGTAATTACTAAAATTGCACATCTGAGAATCATCTGTATTCCTTCCTTGCCTTCTTTTTCCATATTAATCCATCCCACTAAGTAGTCTATTCCTTTAATGTATTCACATCTGTCCCTTCCTCCTGCCACTGTTTTAGTTTAGGACCTCACCAGCCACAATCTCGTCCCACAAAGTTCAGGCGCTCCATGGATCTCTTCCAAGGTCATGCCCCAGTCCTTCTACCTCCCAGCTCAGATGACCTTTGCATAGCCTTTGCCAATATATTTATATGGTGTAAACTTTATATTCTGCTCACTTCAGGGCTTTTCTTTCAATAAAACATTTTTCTAAAAGTCAAACACTCCCTAGCTTGACATCCTTTAATAGCTGATCATCTCCTTTGGGATACAGACTCAGATATAATCTTTACCTCACATACCAGGCTCACCTCTTCTCCCCCATCGGTATGCCCATGTGCTCTGCTCTGTCAGACTAATTCTGTGTTGCCTGAACACTTCATGCTTGCTTTATAATCTCTACCTCTTTGTATACACTTTTTATTTCCTCTGCCTGGAATATTAGCTTGATAGGGATTTATTTTTTAAGACTCAGCTCAAATTATTTCCTCCATGAAGCCTTTCCTAATACTCTAAAAGGCTATTAGTTACTCTTTCTTCTTTCATTACACATTGTGTATTTCTCCTTGGTAATCACAAAATTACACTCCAATGTGGAAAAGGAGGAAGCAGCACAACTCATTTCCCAGATGGTCTTAACAGTTAACAGGAGACGCTCATGTGCATGGTCCACGTGTGCACATCCACACGGCCGCAGGGGGCCAAGGAGGACGTGCTGCTCAGTCTCTGACTTTTGGTTCAAGTTCTACACTACAGCTCATTTGAGAGTTTTAATGAGGAGTAAGAGCTTTGGGAACTCCTCTTCTGCCACATTATATTAGGTTCTCCTGTTTCTTTCACTGGTCTGGTACTCCGTATGTTCAGTTATTTTTGTTCCCACTCAGGGCCCTGTTGCTTCTCTGCAGGTGTGGCTTGAGCAT